TCGTTTATCACCTGTACTTTAGTTAAATATGTTAACGTATACGCACTGTGAAGGTGCCATGCAAATAGATATGCTTTAAATGACAGAGAAACATGTACTTACGTTCTAATCGTTTTTCACAATTGCCAAGGCCAAGGAATAATAAAAAAAATACATCAAGAACAGAAAAATAAATAAAATGAAAGTAATTAACTGCTAAGAGAGTTGATATTCATTAATCAGTCGGCTAAGACCTCTGCTCAACAAATAGTTCTGATATGAAACCATTTTCATGATTATGACTTTAATTCTCATAATTAGTTTCAAGTAACTAACACCTCAATTTCACAGTCTACCACAGATAACATTAAATCTTTTCGTAAACTGAGCCACTGAATCAAAATCGAATCCTTATCTACTTATGGTTCACACTGAATAAATATTTCCACAAGAGCCTAATTCAAAACGGTTTCAACAAGTTTCCAACCATAACTTAGGAAGCAAGGCGAATATCAGAATGCCATGTTTATTGATGATCATAATAATAATATTAATAAAACGAAAATTGTAGCTTTCATTATTACAAAAGTAAGCGACAGTGACACAAATATGTGATACACACTGAAAATATGACACACACTGTTACTGCAGTAGTGAAAAGACATTTGAAATCCGCCAAATAACTATAAAAAGAAAACATACTTACGATCTGTTTGCCCGTTAAGGTAGGAAATAAGAAAAAGAGATATGCTAGTTAGTGAGGCACATTTGTTATTGCCTACATTGTCCTTCTGTTTGGTATCGTGAAGTAAAAGCGTCTTTTTAATGGAACAGCCGGTAGTATGACTACGCGTCTTATTACACTTGCCACAACTGTTGGGTATTTCAAATGGTTACCATGTTGGCATTCAATGGGGAAGTCTGACCGTATAACAGTCTTTAACATGCTGTCACCCAGCAATTGTAAAAAAGACATTTTGCCAAACTCAAATCAAAAATGATGATTGAGGCGAAAACTATACCGGTTCATTGTAGGTAAAGCGTCTCCTTTTACAAATCTACTCTTTCGCAAAAATGATGATTACTCTGAAGGGAGTCTAACACATGATGACTGTCGAATAGTACCTAGTTTGTTAGAAATGTAAAAATTAGGAAAGGTAAAGAAAAAGCTACTTACGACCTGTTATGTCAATGAGACGTTGGTGAACCCGATGGAAAAGAAGAGAAAATGAATCAACTGAAATTGACTATCAGTTTAAAGCCGTTGTGAGATACTGTGTACTAATTGACTAAGTTGGAGGGCCGGTCGGGAAAGTATTTGGCTCGAGGTCATGACGTACGGAACGAGCATAGCACAGAGGTCCGAGTGCCACGATCGAAAGTCAAATATTTCCCATCCAGCCCGACCTAACTCAGTCATTACGCATTTTATTGTATGACTTTTTGGTGTTGGAAATTTTTTTTTTTTCTTAAATATCATGCGATAGACCGGCGCGCGCGGAATAACCACAAAAACTATTCTACAATTAATACTTTCCTTTCTGTTTTCGAGTTAGAACAGGAAACTCACATTTCATCGAAAAACGTGGCATTTGTTTCCATTTGTGCCCTCTGCTGTCACTCATTTTTGGCCACAAAAGCGGACAATTTTTTTCATTTTAATATTTTTTGTACGAGTGCACTAGGGCCGGGCGGCTTTTTCCGGACCGGGAGCCCGTTTATCGGGGTTCTGGTACATAACGAGCCCGTAAAGCTGTTCTGCTTTCCTTCAAGATGGTTTCAAAAGCTTTAAAAATTCTATAATAAAACTATTAGCTAAAGAAACAAAATGGAATACTAAGGTCGCCAGGCTGCTTCTCTCTTCCTAAAATTTTAATTTTAAAATATTGCCTCGAGCCCGTTAAGTTACCGGGCATTTCGAGAAACGGGCGCCGGCTTTCATCAACCTGTCCGGCCCTACACACGTCAGCTTTTCTAGGGAATTGCACGAGCGGAGCCAGACTGGCCATATGATAAAATCGATTAACACGAATTAATTTATGCCTTTGAGCATATTTTCGGACATCAAGAGATTAAATATCTTGCAGACACTAGAGGTTATAAGCTGGATACAAGAGATAACAATTGGTTTACAATCTCTTGCGGACTGCAATAAATGAACCACTTTGAGGTATGCGAAAACGATTGATGTTCTATAATAAAATAATAAAGCGACACTGCTTTCGCTGCCAAAAAAGGAAGCAAAAGATAACAATAAATAACAACTGACTTTTAAAGGGAAAAAAACGTATGATAATGTTTGATATACCTCGCAAAGGTAAGAGAGTCAAAGCATTTTGAATTGAACAGAATAAAAGAAAAGGGCTTCGAGAAGGGTTCTTTAATTTTCGCTTTTTTTGACGTTTTGCTTAATACCATGATCTATGTATGAACTAAAATAATTTCTTACCCACTAAATTGTCCACAAACCATGATTTTAGAGAGGAAAGAGCAACAGAAATAAATTGTTAGCTGAATTCAAGTGTTTCTTACAAAATAATAATACTAAGGCAACAAATTGTTACTTTTAAATACTTGATATGGTGAAAGAAAGCAAAATTCTATAAATTATAGAATTTTGGTTTTTTTCACCGTATTTTATGACCTAGTTTATGAGTTGCTTAGAGATTCAACGTACCGAAAGGCCAATGATCGCAAAAGGAAAAAGGCAAATACCATCACATAATGAAAATTTCCTACGTGAGTAATTTTCTACTTTTCTAACTAAAAGATTGAACATGCTGTGCGTAGGTTGTTTGTGTGTCTTAAGCACCCGAAATTTCAACTCACTGAAAAGATATCCTGAACGGGTCTGAAAATGTCACACAATTTTATCGCGAAAATTAGAGAGACAGTAAACAATCTTGAACACGAATTGCAATGAGTCAATGAAACTCAATTAGCAGTTACGAACAGGCAGAGAGCAAATTTGGCACTACATTTCACTTGTTAATTACATTGAATATCAATATAGATATTCAACTTGCCTCAAGCAATTCCAATCCTATAGAAAACATTATCTTAACTAATAGCTATTTAGAAGGAATGAAAATGTTACTTACTGTCTAATTTCCCAAATTTGGATCAATGCGCAAGATTTAAGGGAAAATGCAGAAAGAAAGAAAAGGACGTAAGTACACTAGAGTACAAACGCAGTTTGATAAATACCTATAATCATTAAATACAACCCCCAAAAAAGGAAATTTTAATCTTCAGATGTTTTGTGAAGTAAATTGCATGATAGCAATCAAAACTTATACTTTTTTGCGTAATGTTTAACACTGTCTGTGTCTGTGCTATTCTGAGAGCAACAAAGTAAACACAACTTGAATTGTTTCTTAATGTAATGAATGGTAAAAACCTTGAAATATTTACTCTTTTCGAAATACAATTACTCGACTCGACTTGTTTGTAGCAGGTTTATTTAGTCAGTAACAATTATTACGATAATAACTATTAAGTGCCGCTCTCGCTAAGAACGGTCCTCTCGACTTCCCGTCGGGAAAAAGTGTTCTTTTATTTTTTTCCCATGGAGAGGGTATAGGACACATGTATCAAAAATAGTTCAGTTGTTCTCCAATTCCTTTTTTTTGGGTCGCCAAAAGCCAAGAATGATTTTTGGCTAGTACACCCGTGTGGACAGCGATCGAAAGTGTAAATTTCACAGATTTTGTCCAGCGCGCAACGATTGCAATAATATAGCTCACGCAATTCTATCTTCCTACAAGTTACAAGAAAATATAGAAACTTCAGCTGAAATATTTTTCATACAAGCGTGATCAGAGGAGATCCTTCTCTTCGACCTTTATTTGCATATCAAAATTCACCAATTTGTACGAAAGAATTCTCAAAATGCAGGCGTTAATCGGGCTAAAAAAGCATATCAGTGTGTAGTTTATACACCAATGAGGTCACCGATTGCCTCAAACCCACGGGTATATCTGTAGCTTTCATCCACCAACATCTTAAAAACAACACAAATCCACGTGTTTGCTCAATTGCGCTCTTGTGAATGATCGTTTGCATAATTCTGAAACTCGACCAAGATCTCCTTTTGACTGTTCAAACTTCGTTTGTTTATCCTCTACGTTGAGGATGTCGGGTTTTCATAACAACTGAATGGAGAATAGATGCAGAGTTGTCCTAAAACGTTACGTAAACGTGATCGGTCGTAACGCTTGCGCGCTTGCGTGACTTACAAAGTAGACAAAGGTGATCGGAAGGCGCCTTCGCGATAATTTTCGTTGAAATATCTGGTCATGAACTAGTCATGAACTACGCACATTGTGGAGAAGATCAAAATTAAATAGTGTACCGTGTTAATTTGGTAAATAACACTGTAACGTATTTCAACTTGTTTGTAGGCCCTTTTAAGTAACACGATATGTCTGTAATGACTGGAGTGCCAATTTTATTCTTTAATTTTGATCTTCTCCATACTGTGCGTAGTTCATGACCACATTGGTGTATAAACTACGCACTGATAATCTTTTTTTAAGCCCGATTAACGCCTTCATTTTGAGAATTCTTTCGTACGAATTGGTGAATTTTGATATGCAAATAAAGGTCGAAGAGAAGGCTCTCCTCTGATCACGCTTGTATGAAAAATATTTCAGCTGAAGTTTCCATATTTTCTCTGTGAACTAATTGAAGGCACCTTGTAACTTGTAGCAAGATAGAATTGCGTGAGCTACATTATTGCAGTCGTTGCGCGCTGGACAAAGTCTGTGAAATTTACGCTTTCGATCGCTGTCCACACGGGTGTACTAGCCAAAAATCATTTTTGGATTGTGAGGACGCGAAAAAAAAGAATTGGAGAACAACTGAACTATTTTTTAAACATGTTTCCTAAACCCTTTCCATGGGCAAAAAATAAAAGAACGCTTTTTTCGACGGGAAGTCGAGAGGACCGCTCCTAGAAAAAGAAGAAAAAGGCAACTGATTAAAATCCTGGTCCACATTTGTCACCCTCATCGTCAGCATCACTTCGGCGTTGGCGTCACATCATCTTCATCGCCATGGATATCGTCGGCGTCATCGTCAAAGCCAGCGTCATCGTTATCGTTATCGTCATCATTATCGTCATTATCATTAAACTTACCGCATACACGCAGTGTTGCAGAGGAACTAGTTGTATTTGCTTTATTTTTCGCTTCACACTTGTAAGTCCCTTCCATCCCTTTTGTGACGCTTAAAAATTCCAGGAATGATTCTCCTTTGTCATTGAATTGATTGATACCAGATGGCAGGTCACCATTATTAAAAACCCAGACTAATGTTGGTGTTGGCACACCTGTGGCTCGGCAACTAAAGTTCACAGAGTTTCCCTCCATAACAGACTGGTTTATCGGAGGCTTTATAATCTGTGGAATTACTTCAATAAAAAAAAATCCAAAATTAATAAGGTTTGTATAGTCCACTTTAACCCCATTTATCTAACCTTTGATAAAACGACGAAACAACAAAAACAACAAAATCAAAACAAGAAACGCGATGTTCAAGTCTATTTTTAACCAAGGTCAATTTTTTTTATAAAGGTTTTCTTCTCGTTCAGAATAAAACGATATTGTTTTGCGTTAAGTTGTCCCAGTTGTGCCAATAACCTTCATTTTTTTTAACTCGTGAATTGCGCGTATGCGCAAGAGCGAGTTGTAGATACGATGTGGAGAATGGCACTCGCTCGCTCGATTGGTCGATTCCTGTAAACTTTTTTTCGATTTTAGGCTTTTGAGTGGATTTGATAGTTTTTGGCGAGCAATAAACAAACGGAATGGCGACCTTTGTTGCTAAGAATAGTGGTGGGGTGAAAAAGAAGCCAATGATAATCTTAAAGGAGTTTTTTTTTCGTTTTAGTTTCAACAAGCGGCGCCAGCGACTGGCAGGCATGCAAAGATTCACACTGAAATAACAGACAACCTTCGTTTTTCATAAAATTGTAATTTATAATCCTTGAACTTGAAAACAATCCGAAGATTCATTGAAAATATCACTTACTGCGAAGCGCTCGGAGTTTACAGATGTTCAAAAGCTTTTTCTGTTATGGCGTGAGTTGAGGACAAAATTGATCATTACGTTTCTTATCGTGTGTTTTTCCTGTGTGAAGCAACAAAAGGTGCCGGCGACTGACGAAATTACAAGTTAACACAAAAATCAAATAACACCTAAACAAACAATTTTAGCTACCGATTTTCAGTGAATTTTTAAAGAACAATTTTCTTTTAAGTTTCAAGACAATTTGAAGATTCAAAATACATTTTACGTACTAAAATGCGAAAGTTATACACCACAAAATTGATAAACAGGCCTGAAATGAAATTCTATCTTGTTATTGATTATACGTTGCGTAGCACGTGACTAAAATCTACCCAGGCGGAGATCCAAAATGACGGTGACAGTCTTGGCTTAGTTCTATCACTCAAAACTCGTTCCCGTTTGTCTCATTTGATAAAGAGGGAATCGTTAATGTTTTCATTAAGACAGTATTGCCTTGATTTTCTAATATTTACAATGATAGACAGTAAATTTCACTTTTCACCCACATTTACTTCCAACCTTTTCTTCTGAACCAGAAAAAAAATGATATACGTTTAAAACACATGACATCATCCACCCTTGTCAAATGTAATAGCATGATCATTTCAACTGTAATGCCTTCTTATCCCAACGTTACTTTGTTTCTTAGCTACATTAGCGAATACTGAACTACTGCTCGTACTCTAGATATGACAATCAACCACAAAATTCCCTAAACCAGATAACATAATCCAAAAAATCATGTGTCAATTCCCGAGTTTGCTCACAGAGCAATTTGATCTTTCTGGTTCTTGAGTGTGATGTTAAAAACCTATATGTTTAATGACTATCAGTTTTATTTTTTTAGCAGTATATATTGAATTTGAAAAGTCATTAGGCAATGATGATCAAAACAATGTGAAACATTTGCATTCTGTGATAAAAAAAAAGGAAATCTGTCATTTGACGTCTCCAAATTGAGTATTTTGACATGCGTCCAAGGATAAAAATGTTAGAGTGGACCACAGGATTTGGAATTCCTTAATAGCGGGAGGTGTTTTTAATTATTTCTTTGGTTACGGATTTATCTTCATTTACAATCTGTGTGTCTGTAAGTCAGAATCAACTCTAAGTCACCAGGAAATGGATGAAAAGAGAAAAAAATAGGTCTATTTAAATTTGGCTTAAACTTTAAAACAAACGCTCTGTTAAGTTACAAGTTTGATAAATGACATAAACTACAATTTTGGGTTTACCTGTGACATCGATCCAGAAGGAAGAGTTTGCTTCGCCATAATCATTTTTAGCAGTACATTCATAATAGCCTTTATCTTTAAACGTCGCTTGTCTTATAACCAAGGTGTTGTTTTTACTAATTAGCACTCCATCCTTGGTCCAGTAGACAGATACTTGTGGGTCACCTCTGAAATAACACTCTCTAATAAAAGGGTAGTCAAATTCAATGGTGAGATTTCTAGACTCATCACGAACATGGGGTGGAACTGCAAAGTAAGCATGTAAACACAAATTACAAAATAAGAAGCCACCCAACCTTCCCCCCTCTCCCCCACCCACAAAAAGAAAAAAATTACAATAATAAATAACATTAAAAAAGAAGGAGAAGAAGACAACGAGCCACTTTTTTACCATATCAAACAAATCCTTCCAAAAACCATGTCAGTCAGGCTATATTACTAACTTAGCCATGATATCATCAAATTGTTATAGCGGGAACAAAGGAACAATTGTAAAGACCTTCCAATTCTTCGCAATAAATAACTAATGAAGCGTTCTGAAAAAATTATTCATCCAGGACCTGGTCCTCACTGGTGAATCAGTCGCAGATAATAGCTGAAAGCCCTTGCATTTTTTTTAATTTTTCTGATAGTTTTCTACAATTACCTTACCCTTAGCTCAGACCCAGAAACCTTGATCTAGAGTCAGGCCCACTGGCTATTGATTCGCACTCCGTAGGCATATCAAATGCATGATTGATTTATAATACAGTTGAGCTTTACAAACACACCCTTTACAGAAATGTCAATGTATTTGGTAGAATTTCCTGCTTCATTCTCTGCCTTACAAGTGTACCACCCTTCGTCCTCCTTTGTTATCTTAGAAAAGAAGAGAGACAAACTCTCTCTTTGCAATGTATTATTCTTGAGCCAGGTGATCCGTGGTTCAGGCCGACCTTCCACAACTTTACACGTCAAGTTTACATTGCTTCCTTCTATGATGAGATTGCTTGCTCCAGAAATACAAACTTTTGGTCGAACTTAAAGGTAAATAAATAACATATTACTGGAAAATCGGAGGTGTTCCTATATCATTTACATTGAACACATTAGACGCAGTAACTAAATGAACATTTGATGATGACAGTAGCGCTTAATATGAAGTATAATCGTTTGTCAGATCGCGAACCTTTCGAACTTCGTATTGAGGTCTACATACTCCTATTATCTCGGACCACCAGTCTACGTAAGACAGAAGGCGCAGCCATAGGGAGTATGGTCTCCGCCGTTATTGCTAATCTCCACCTATAGAGTTATAGGAGCAATCGATAACCTTATCATCTTACCAGCGAAGGATCTGGAAACGTTATGCATATGACACATTCACAATCTTGGTTCGCGAAAACGCTGATAGCTTCCTACAGCATTTGAAGAACCGAGAGCATCTCATTCACTTCACTGATGTTACAAATAGTAACAACACACCCGCCATCCATGGCACTGCATCTTTAAAACAAGAGCCCGTGGTTTACAAGATTCCATGTGAGTGCGGCAAAGTTTAGATCGGCGGAGCAGGCAGACCTATGGAAGTAAGGTTCAACGAGCAATATGGCAGATCGAGAAACGACATGCTAAGACAAAGGCCTCTGCAGTTTCAGGAGACACGTGGAAACCACCTGCTCTGGACTGAAGTAGAGTATATTGATAGTGATCCTATTATTATTAAACGCAGGGTAAAAGAGGCCATCCACATGAGACTGTTACAGCATAAATTGGACATTGGGATAGACATCCCAAAAATATGAATGCTGACCACAAGAAACACAAAAACAGGATAACTTTGCGACAGTGGACTCCGGAAGAACATTTGGTCAAAGTGTGCCAATCGAAGCCTGTGTGGGATTCCAGTCAATCACAGCCAAACAGAGAGTTTCATAAGGTCATGCATATCTACCGACCTTATAACAGGAAGAAGACACAATATGCAGTCAAAAAGTCGCGATCCATATCCAAAGTATCTTCATGGCGAGACAAACGATTATACTGCATTCAGAAAGTGAATTTGTCACCAAGACCAACCGAAGTCGATTTAGGCACATTACCAGTTTGAAAAGAAACTATAAACTTCGTCACAGGGCACTTACTTTGAGTCATGACGAGGAAACTACACCGTTCACAAATAACCTAAGTATAATTTTTTTAACATGACAACCCTACTTTCAAACAACGAAAACGAACATATTCACGATAAAATGTAACCTCACATACCTGTGAGTATGAGCAGCGAAAAGGTTTTGAAAATGAGTAAATTAAATTAATTAAATTTGAAGGACTGACTTTGTGACTTTCTATATATTATCTCATTAGTCACTCACTTATAACTGTCACTAGTATGTTTTTATCTCTGCTTGAGACCCTCTGTGGTCCTTTAGTTTGTGTCATGGTACAGATGAATGTTCCATCGTCTTCAGGCTTTACAAAACCAATACGCAGGCTGCCGTTGGATATTTGAGTGAATCGTCTCGGGTCTAAGGACTTTCCTCCTTTCTTACTCCAAGAAATCTGTGGACTTGGTGTTCCATCAGCACTACAGCTTATAATGCCAGACGTGTACGCAATAAAGGTTTGTTGGTCCAACGTCTTCTGAGTAAATCTTGCTGTTGAAAGCAGTAACGAAAAGCACTAATATCGTAGCTATACTGTTGAAAGGTCAGAAGTGCACTTGTCTTACATGACATTGTCCTGCATGTTAAGCCTATTTCTACAAGATAAAAAGATGTGTTTTCATACCATTTATGTAGACAATGTAATATTGAACATATTCCAATCTCTGGCATTCATATATTCCTCCATCAGACAGCTGCACATCATCAATGAACAGATCACCATTGTCTTTAGCCTTGATCCTTTCAGAAGTAGAGTTTGTTATTTCAAGCTTTCGCCCATTGATGACCCATCTAGCATAATTGGTTTTATTGTTTATAGAGCAATGAAGCTTTTCTCTGCTACCAATATCAAAATAGAGTTCATTTCTTTTCAACACATTCTTGTTCTCTGCAAAAAAAAAAAATGGTTCGGTGTGGAAGATGTCAAAATAAGTCAGATTCTGTGTAATCAACACTACAAGAAGAGAAAAGTTGAATATATTTACCTTTAATAAAGCTTAACTTGAGAAATTTTTGGAACTTTGTTGTACTTAAAACTAAGTTATATTACTCCAAAGAAAGTCATGTCAGCCATTATCAAAGTAATGTAACCTTTGAATAGAATTATATCGCATCCAAAAAAGGTTATGTCACCCGTTAAAAGAAATTAGGTAACCCTTAACTGAAGTCAAGTGATCTTATGAGCAGTCAGATTACATTCATGAAAGATATGCCAAGCTGAATCATCAATGAGGAGGGTAAGTTGCTTTTACTCCTACTATTTTGTAGCCCAATATGTCGTTATAATTGTGGTGTAGTTTTTTCGTGAAAATATATTTTAGTTTTCGAGAAATGATTTTTTTCGTTCGACCGCTCAAATATGCAAATTTTCACCGTGAATATCACCCGAGTTGCGTGACCTCATGTAACGAATTTACTTGACCTCCGATATTTCTGTCAACATAATCTTTTTTTCATCATCGAAACTTAATCCCCTCTCAGTATTGAAGCTAGCAAAGAAATATGTATTTTTTGGTAAATATTTTTTCCGACATACTTTTTCTATGTCGAAAAGTAGCATCAAAACAAAGACAGTTTCAACAATGACCGATATAACAGAATCTACTGATGGTTATAAAGTTACTGTAAAAATTGCCTTGTGTATTTGTGTTGTTCTATCGTGAGACGAACTCAACGTCCGGCAAAATTTGCTTACTTGTCGCCACCGTTTATTGGCATAAATCACTACAATTTGTTAAAAAAAATCTAACATAACACTCTTACCTTGTTTACTTATGATTTTTTAAGACCAAGAAGCTGTTTCGGTTACTATATTACGCTTCGGTATTACTTTTTGCCAGGAGCCCAGGTTTTAAGTTGTGTTTTCCCCTACCCCATTTATATCATAAGCTAGTCACGCAATAATTGATCCCAACAAAAATGAATATTTACCCTGTATGAAGATTTTTGTTTATGTTGAATTGACAATATTTGAATATGTCACTTTTGTGGCTACTAATCGTTGTTTCAGTAGCGGCGTAGCAGTTAAAAGCGGGTTACTGGGTGCTGACAGGGTGTGTATTGACCAATTCCAAATCGAGACCTAAGTCTGACGGAACGCGTAATTTTGCACAAGGTGGTACAGTGAATTTTCCAGACGTCTTGCGTACTATCTGTGGTACATGCTTGCCAATTCCCCAATCAGCTTTTGGAATCGACTCAACCCTACCTTTACCACAGCCGTACACTTCTTTAGGCACCCAACACCGGTACCGATATTTGATCTACGAGTGGGGCAGATTGATCAAGAGATCAACTTCAGTTTCTGGATCTCCGCAAGTGACTTGAAATGTCTTTTTTACAACTACGCAAGGGAACGACCTGAGATATGCAACGTCGGTCTTCTCGATAACTATACCCAAAAGTCCCACCAGCGAACGATTTGAATGAACAGCAAATCTCCATGTTAGCGTGTAAGATGAGACGCTTACATAACAGAACAATTAGCTAAATCAGTATGGAGCTTGTCAATCGAATTGACTTTTGTGAACATTCTTTGACTTCCGCCGGCAAAGGAACCGTTGATGGATCTGGACATTTTAGTTTTCTGAATACAGTAATTCTTGGAAGGTCTTTATAGATATGCAGATATGCAAAGAGGGGAAAAAACCTATCTCTTGGTAATTCGGAGGTTGACTCATGCTTGAATTTTGTGTCACGCTTGTCATGCAACTCATATAATAACGTGGTAGGGCATAACTTGATCGTCGAAACAGCTAATAAAATCATAAATAAATAAGGTAAGAGTGTTATGTCAGATTTTTTTTACAAATTTTAGTGATTTATGCCAGTAAACGGTGGTGACAAGAAGGCAAGGGCCTGTTTACATGGAGGTGGGGGACCCCAGGTAGGTGAGGTAACCCGCCTAGCCGTGGTCGAAAAATAAAACGCGTTTACATGCAATCTTACAACCCCGGGGTGCTGGGGTGAGGTTTCTTGAGGTTGTTGTTGCGCTTGCAATTAAGGAGTCTGAGCAGAGGTGTCCCAAGCTCACATCTCGAAAAAGATGGAAGATTAATTCTCGCTTATTCATAAAAGCGTCACGCGTTGTGTTACGCGGTGTTTGATGTCGCGGGGAACCGTTGACTTAATACGTTCTACGGAATATTTTGGGAAACCAAATATGGTCAATTTACAACGCTAAATATTCCAAAATGTGAACATTTTACACTCCATGTGTGTCCGTTACGGTTTCTGATGATTTCTGCCATGAGACGGCTAGGGTATGTACAAAGTTTTAAAACATACATATTTCGCTTTTTGCCATGAACGCGACCCCGGCTAGGCGGGTTACCCCACCTTGAGACGTCACACTTTGGCAGAATATTTTTAAAAATAGTGTTCTGGTCATCTGTGTATCTCGATTTACTCTGATTTCCCTCTACTTTAGAAGGTCAATGGGAAGAAGAAAGACAACCACGAAAACCAGAGTAACTAATCAGATATAAAAATTTAGTTGCTTACTTGGTTGACACAACGCTTGAGAACCCTTGTCATCCGATTGACATTGAGGGGGAATATTTAACTTTCCATCGATGCGATCGCATGATGCAAGCTCAAACTCTTCTCCGGTGCAAGAGACATCGGACATTGCAAAAGGTATTCCCTCAGCCTTTATGTCTGACCCAATGAACTCCGCTAAAGCCTCTTCAAAGCCAAGTTGACGACAAATAACTTTGACATCATTAAAGTCCCATTTATTCCTACATATCTTTGCCCATTTTCCCTTGTAAAACACTTCCACTCTTCCTCCATACTCCACATTTGCGCCATTCAAGCGAACAGGAACTTATGAAATTACAAAAAGTTCAATCCGTTAAGATGGAAAACACTAATTATCAACAATCAAGAATGCCTATAAATCACGAAATGATAAATAGTTCATGCCATTCTAAGTGTTTTGTTTTAAGTGAAATTCTGGGTGCAAATTATTCAGTATTCGAACGTTGGCCGCATCGTTCGTTGTCACGGTGTGGTTTCCTTGCTGCAATGTTTTACGACAAACCTCTTTTACATTGCTTCGTGACTGCGTTTTAAATTGTAAAACTAGATGTTTTTTTCAATAATTTTGGAACATTCAAGACGTTTTTTCTTTGCCTTCGGGGAACACAAAAGGGTGATTAACATTTTAAACTAGAAAGCATTTCTCACAGAATAATCAAGAAAAAGGCGTTTAGTTAGGTATAAATAGAGTAAAAAATTGTGAAATTCCCTACTTGCACGAAAGAGAGAAAAACAAGGAAACTAGAAGGATGCAATAGTTTTAAGGAAACTTAGTAAAGGGTTTGGAGTAAGGTTATGAAGTCCATGAAACCCAAATGCATAACTGCGCAGCTAGTTTCTTCTTTCGGCAGTAATTCAACTGTAATCGTCTTAGTGTGTAAACAGTAGAAACCCGCTAGATTTTTAACGATAGAAACCTTTTTAGAACCTAAAAGATACCCGAAGATGAGCGATCATTGATCGCGTAAAAGTTTTCATATCTGGAGTGTGAGTAAATCTATCAAGTTATCATCTTTGGAGATCGTGTGGATATTACATGAGTGCAACTCAATATTACCTTTGCAAAATTGTTGTTTGTTTTGACATCTGGTGGGAATGGTGCAGTTGTAGTAGGTGGACATCTCTGTAGCATTGCCACGTTCTGCGTACCATGTTTCATTAGCACCGTTGTTATAGTAGCCCATGGCCATGCAGGTTGAATTTTCATCTGCTTCATCCCATTGACTGGTACAAAGCTTTTGCCAGCTGCTGTTTGAGAATATCTTCATTGTACCAAACGATGGGTTCTTCTCTGTTTCAAAACGCAGGGGAAATTCTTCAAATATTAAAAAAAATTGACAAATAAGGATAACAATAAACAGCGTGAACTACTTCAGCATAGGTAAATTCTTGTGTTGATGATGTCCCCATATAATTACCTAGTAACAGTAGTCCTTGCATTTTTGGAAGATTTCTTTTCAGTTTATGGTGGAAGAATTTCCTGTTTAGCTAGCATGATTTTCTTTGCCGGCAGGTCAATGCCAAAAGGTTATTTAGTAACTGAGGCTCTCGCATTTTTGAGCATGTTTCTTGTCATTGGATGATAGTTAGCATTACCGGATTAGCTAAAAGGGTATTGTTTACGGGCAGTCCAACAAAATTCGTAATCGCCATTGCGCAGATAGTGCAGACTTCTTACAGAGCGACCACAAATGTTAGCGAAAGCTCGTGGCAATATTTTAGTACCTACACTGTAAAATTAAAAGAGTTGATTTGGCCCCAAAAATGGGGCCAAAACGAGTGAGTCCAGTTTGGCACTTGCTTAGGGTCAATTCGGCCCCATTGAAATGGGGCTGTTTTTGGCACCAATTTTGGGGCTGAATTGACCCCGTTGTAGGGGCCAAATTGGACCATGTGAAGGGTGAATTTGAAAAATACAGGGGCCACTTTGAAATTTCTAGGGGCCAAAACAGCCCCCGAAATTTCAGCCCTCTCACAAATGGCCCCTTTAAAAAGAGCCAATTCAGCTCCAATGTGGGCCACTTCAGAAGTAGAGGGCTCTTTCCTCTCCATGCTGATTTTCCCCCTTACATTCAAATAATGAAAATACACCACATACTTTATCTTTATAACACTCATTTATTAGGTTCTAGATATTGTTTATGTAAAAACCTTTTATGCTACCTGATTTTACAGTTATTAAGAATCTTAATTGTGGTATAAAACAGACAAACTTTGAAACATCATGTGAAAGAATATAACATACATACATATTTAACATTAATTCAACCATTTTCTAAAATAGATCTCTTCCCTAAATCAATATACTTCTTAACAGTGCAAGCATTGCAAGAAATTACACCCAAGAGACACTTGTGAGTAAAGCTTCCCTTTTCAATGACTTAGCAAATGTGGTAATGTAAAGCAGCTAATAATTAAGACTGATTTAAAGTACAGAAAATTATCAAAATAAGACAGAGGCAACAAATGGTCCAGTTCCTGCACAAGAATATAGATCTTGTTCGATTTGTGCATATGAAAAACAAAGAGCCTCAGAGCAGCAAAGAGTATTCTTCCAGTGGGTGTGAGAATACATGCACTCATATTGCTACTTTAGATATTATCAAAATATAAACTATCAGCAAGTACTACCACAGGCATTTGCCAAGTCATTGAAAATAGAGGAAACAGTGACAAGAGTCTGCCTGTGCCCAATTTCAAGCAATGCTTGCTCTAAAAAAAGTCAAAATTGCCTTTGACCGATTGTAAGAAAATAATAATAAATGAGCCAAGTAACCCAATGAGAGCATCAAGAATCTTTTCTTGTGAGAAGTGACAAATTACACTTCCCTCTGTTACTATATTCAGGTGATTGATGTATTGAAGATCTCCAACAATTAAAATTGGTGCTGGACATAATCTCTGATTGCTGAATCAACATCAGCTACTCTATACAATAAAAACAAGTTTTACAACCACATTAAAATCAAGCCAAAGTGCAAAAAGTGCCTGTAGCCAGAAAAAAAAAAAAAGAATATATATATACACACTTAAGTTAAAGAATTAAAGAGGACGCATCAATTCTCTGTGACTGAGTTTTGTGCCTAAGTGCTTGTCAGACAGAAAAGTTCTGTCTGACATTTTGCAACTTTTTAGTTTAAGGCAAGAGATTCATCGCCACAAAATTGTCTCTCTTCACTGCAAACAGAAGAGGTGAAGCAATAGATTTTTAGACCATACCAATCCATTCAGTTTCCAAGTCAACTTAGTCTAGTATCCTGCTAACCATACAAGGATACTATGCAATAATTTTTTTTTTGCAATCCACTGTTGCTCAGAGTACTTTAGGCTGCTAATGAGATATCCCTTCTGGGTATCCAACTCTACTGAGGCAGAGAGCTGTACAAAAAAACAAACAAACGAGCAAATTAATTTGTTGTTGGAGAACAGTAAATTTTTGCAACTACAAAGTTGCAAAATATTTGTAAGCAAACTGTGCATAGGAAGTAAAAACACACTAATGGTGATCATCAATGATGTATTTTCACCAAACTGTATATGTACTTATCAAGAAAAGAAATCATACCTCTATGCACTTCAGTTTTAGTTCAGTATTCATGAATAAATAAGGATTGCTTGTAGACTTAAAAAACAAAACAAAGAAAAGTTTCTTACCCTCGATGGTAGTTGGAATTTTGAAAGCCATTCAAGAGGAACCTGTAGGTAAATATTTGTTTTCAAA